GTAAAATTTAATTTCTTTTTAAACTTCAAAATATAAATATCCCTTTTTTCTAGGCTTTACTTGAATATGCATGTCTTTCACGACAAGGTAATAAACGTGAATTACTTCAACGTTGTAAAATTCTTATATGCTCAAGTTTAACTCCACAATTAATAAATAAAATTCATCAAATAAATATAACACGACTTAATTCAACAAGATCACAACGTCCATCAGTATCTCTTCCTATATCATCGACATCACATAATTATCATAATCAACATTCAATTATTTTATCATCAAATTCAACGATTGATAATTTACCATCACCTAATCTTGTACAATCTGTTCGTTTACCTTTTTACGATAAACTTCGAACAATTGAATGTATAAATATACCTGTCGATTGGAATAAATTTTCACCTTTACGTTTTATTTTAACTGATTTCGATGTTGATTTTATACTTAAAGGTATAGCTAAAATTTTTCTTCGTATTGCACCAACAATTACATCTGAAGAACAAAATGATGTTTTACCACCTTATTTATTCGTTCAATGTAATGTAAGTTTAGTATTATTAAAAGGAATTGTGCCAAATGATAGGCCTGGCATCCCAAAAAATTTGTGTCTAGTCTTATTAGTGTGAGAATAGGTGTTGAATCTTGATTATTTTTCACATTTGGGGGCCTCCTTCAGATATCAAAAAAACCTTCTTATCGTCGTTCTATTAAAAGTCTTTACAATTTGATAGCGTGAAGTGCACTGAGTGCAAATGTCACTTTGTTTTTCGAAAGCACTCAGATAATAAGAAAGATCTTAAGTATTCTGTGAAAGCCTTAAAAACCAGTTTTTGACCTAAAAGTCCATTAAAACCCGGTTTGAATTCGTCGAAATTAGACTCATTTGATGTAGAACTTCCATGATATTAAAATATTTTTCTATTGATCAGTGTCAAATACCTCCCTAATCGACTCATATCGTTACAAATAATGATTTTTTCAGTCTGATGAAGTTAGTTTCTACAGGCACACCAGCGAAGTTTTTTTACTGTATATAAATTTAAATGTGTCCTTTTCAATTTGAAATTTGACATCTTGCTCTTTCCTCTATACTTCAAAGGTAATTTGTGTCTTCGATTGACTTCTAAAAATGTGATATTTGAAAACAGCACAAAAAAGGACTGAGTCGACTTATGTAAGTTTCAAAATATTTTTGCGACTTCTTTTTACGGTCAAATTTTCACCCTTGATCTCTCAAAAATATACGGAAAAATGAATTTCATCAAAACGACTATTTCATTATCTAGACACCTCTGCTTTTGTTTTCAAATGGTATTTTACAAGTCTAGAGCTATGTTTTCACTGTCGAAATGGCTTTTTTAATGAAGTTCACTTTTCCCTATATCCTTGATGGGATCAAGAGTGAAAATTTGACTGAAAAAAAAGTCGCAGAAACAATTTGAAATCCACATAGGTCGACTCAGTTTTTTCTGCCAATCTCAAATATGACATTTTTAGAAGTCAATCGAAGACACAAATTACCTTTGAAGTATAGAAAGTAGAGCAAAAGGGCACATTCAGTAAAAATATCTCAATAATGTATCCGTAGAAACTATAACTTCATAAGACTGAAACAATCATTATTTGTAACAATATAATTCAAATAGGGTGATATTTGGCATTTATTAATAGAAAAAAGTTTTGAATATCTTAGAAGTTCTCAATGAATTCAAAGAGATTTGAATGTCCATCTAGATCGAAAACTAGTTTTTAAGGCACTCAGACAATGCTTCGAATCTTTCTTATTATCTGAGTAAATATGATATTTGTAATCAGTGTGCTTCATGCTATCAAACTATAAAGGTTTCTAATAGAATGATGACAAAAAAAAATTTCCGATACCTGAGCAGGTGTGAAAAATAATCAGGATATCATACTTATTCTAACTCTAATAAAACTAGGTTCAGATTTTTCAGGATTCTAGATCAGTAATTTGACACATCGTAAAATTGAACTCAAAATTATTTTGATTTCTAGGGTCAAACAGTTATCAATAATAATGTATCAAAAACAATTGGTTCACAAGCTCATTCAATAGTATTTCCAACTGATATAACAGATAAAATAATACCTAAATCAAATATACACAATACACTAAATTATCTTTGGCTTCAATCACCAATAAATATGTCATTGAAAAATTTACCGAAATCTTATACATTAAAAATTCAATTTGTTCGTTGTATATCATTAGATTATTTATTTGAAAGTATTCTGAAACGTGATATACAATTAAAAAATATTAATGATAATGATAGTGATATTGAAATTGAAGATATTGGTTTAATGGCAACACAACATCGTGTTTCATTAATTTGTCCAATAACACAATCATTAATTAATGTACCAGCTAAATCATTATATTGTTCACATTTAACATGTTTTGATCTTCGATCATTTCTTCAAATGAATGAACGACGTTTACAATGGACATGTCCAATATGTAAAAAACCAGCTTCATATGATAATTTATGTGTTGATAAACGTTTACAATCAATTCTTTCGAATGTTCCATCGAATTGTTCAACTGTTGAAATTGATTCATCAACAAAAATTTTATCCGATTGTCAATATATATTAGATAATGTTAAACAAGAAAAAACTGGCATTGTTATTGCTACTGCATTACATCAAAACGATAATGATGAGAATGATGATGATGAATTAATAAATAATTCTCCAATTAGTAAGTTTAAAATAATTTATAAAATGGGAGTATTCTAAATTAAAGAATTCTTGGCTTTTTGAATGGTCTCCTCTAGTAATGCTCGAAAAACTGATTTTCAAATTTTGATTCGAAACTTGACACTAAGAGAGATTTTGACTATAGTAGTTTATTGTAAAAGTTTCAGATTTTTGCGTTATCCTATTGTAAGACACTGCTTCATAGCTCGTTAGGATCTATATAACGCACATAGTCTCAACTGAAATATGATTAATCAGTTGGGAAATTCCCCTCGTAAGAATGCATTTATATGCACACTAATAGAAAAACTGTTAGCGCAATCCCTGTGAGACTAAAATATGAAACATGATGAAGTGGCTATTGCTGATCATATGCGGATTGTTTTATTCCAATCTATTTTGGTGCACATTGCTTCATCACCTTTCTACCTAAACCTTGGGAAGTGTAATAAGGAAGCAGTTCATATATTTTAGCGAAACATTATTGATATATGACCTGTGACAGAGGGAGAGACGTTGCTATGGATATTTGTTACATCTGTGGGTCCAAACTTCTACTCCTATACTTCAACATTCCTTTAGGATCGTGTTTCATAAAATGTGTCATACTTTGTGACACATTCCGAATGCGCAATTTGCATCTAATCTTTGTAGTAAACTGGGGAATAAATCCTTAGTAGATAGACTACGATATATTTCATTTTAGTGTGTATCGAGAAAATGAGTATGTCACCTGAGAAGTTTTGTTAATATGACTATAGCTAACTCTTTAATACGATGCTTTAATCTTCTATCAACAGTAAGAAAACTACTGACCTCTCAAATGCTATTAAAAACATACTCTTTCTTGTTGGTAATTTTATCTGAAATTTTGTTCTTTGACTGTGTATTTCAATTTTGGTGAATCAAAAAAAAATCATTTTCCTTAGAAATTTGAAAATTTATTTAGTCGAGATCTGAATTTTTATCTGTTACCAGCTATGTTATTTTAATGCTAATAAAGCTAAACAACCTCTCTATCTTGTTTAGATATATGTTGCCTTTGTTCAAAATTTTGTAAGAAACAAAGAAATATCTCAGAAAATCTTGATATAATTTTCTTAAAATCTCTATATCAATTTTAACTTATATCACCAAGTAATTAACTGTAGCGACATTTATCTTTTCTAGTAGGCTAATGTTTATATGCTTTATTGTGTATATAAAACCTTAAAATCTTTTGTGATAGATTAAATATTTTTCTCTCTCATTGAAGAATCTCGTCGTCAATCAATTACAAGTGATTGTGTTATTCTTTCATCTGGAAGTGAAAGTAAAGATGAAAATGAAATAGACGACATTAATATTCAAAATACTAATTCATCTGCTCCAATTACTCCACTTTCAAATGATTTATTTAATCAAAATAATCTTATTGATGAAAATCAACAAATAAATAGTACTAGTCAATCATTTATTAATGTAAATTCATTACAATCTCTAATGGCATCAAATGTAGATGATGGAAGTTATTGGACTGAACTAGCAAGAATTACATATAATTTAATATCACATAATAATAATAATAATAATAGTAATAATAATGAACAAAATTTAAATCGAAAACGAAGTAATAGTTCTATGTTATCATTATTATCAAATAGTGATGATCATCGTCATCGAAAACGAGCAAAACGAACATCAAATACTGAATTACAATCAGCTGATATTGAAGTCATAGTTCTTTCATCAAGTGACAGTAGTGATAACGATGATCATTTATCATGATCGCAAAATATATATAGTTTTTTTTTGTTTGTTATATTTTTTTGCCATTGTATATTTGAAGCATTTGATTGTCTATATTTCTTATTTCGTTTGTGTGTTTGTATACGTTGAATGAAAAACCAGAGTCATAGAATAAAATTCAAAATATTTTCAGGACAATTGCTTTGTCTTCAGATTACATATATATCTTCTAGATTTTTTGTCGAATAAATACTTAAATTTATGATACTGAATAAGTGTAAGAGGAAATGGAGAATTATGAAGTTTATAAATACAGATGATAATATACAAGCAACGTAAGTAACGAGTATACCTCGAAATAATGGTCACCAATAGGCTCTTTCCATCCTCCTTGTATGCGTATAAATGCACAATGTCCTCCATTTTCTTTCTAACCATTCATATTCTTATTTCGACGAATAATGTAATGATTCGTACTGTTCCATGGTTTATTTTTAATAATTGGATATATTTTTGTGATAATCGGAATTAATTCATATTGATTTTTCATGATAGGTAAGAATAAAAAACACAATAATTTCTTCGTTTTTGTTTTTTCTTTTATCCAAGTTGTTGAGTACGACATGCACCTGGATTTCTATCTGTGGTATTGTTCGAAATTTACGCTTGGAAAATAAAATTAATTAAATTCATTCTTTTTTATTATCATATATTTAATTATATATATGAATATCGAATTTAATTATACAAAATTTTAAAAAAAAACTAAACAAATAAATTTAAAAATTATTCTGTTTTTATTATATTTAGTTTTCATCTATGGCTGTCATGTTTATTGGATCTACTTCGTAAACAAGATAATATAACATTATTATTTGTTGATTATGTCAGAATAATGTCTGGTGTTGATGGCAGTTAACAAGATCGAGATAATGTCGAATGTATATGCTGAAAAGATCTAGAACACTTATATTTCTTCGATGATCTAGTTTGATATGTGCCAGACAATATTTTCGCTTTGTTGCGTGAATATTAATCGAAATTTTTATTTATTAATTATTGTTTGTCTCAATTACTAATTGAAAAAATAAACTTTAAAAAAAAATTTTGTTTTGTTACATTTCGTTTAATAAATTTCTCGAATTTTTAAGTATATTTATTATTTTCTTAATACAGATGCCTACAGAAAAAGTTCAAGCAACAATAAGTGTTAAATCAGAAAATTTCTATCAAACATTAGAAGAATCTATAGTTAATTCAGCTACAACAAATCAATCGTCTTCTTATGCAGAATTAATTGCTGCTAATGAACGTTTAAAAGGAAATATTTCAAAGATATTTACTGAATTTGTTAATAAAGCTCGTCTTGAACAAGAAGCTAATGGTGATAAGAAAAAACGTAAAATAAAACGTAATTATATTTTTATTCGATTTGAAAAAGATTTTTTTATGTTTGTTTGTTTGTTTGTTTTTCTATAGATGATGATGAGAAAGAAGATGATGAAGAAGACGAAGACGAAGAAGAAGAAAATGAAGATGATGATGATGATGCTGGATCATCGGACAATAATGAAGAAGAACAATAATTTTAAAGAAAATTTCAATTATTTTCAATAGGTTGTTTTCGAAATTTTCAATGTATTAATCTTGATTGAATGATAAAATGATATCGTGTTTTGTACTTGTATCTACATTGACAAATAAAATTCAACTTCAATATGTCGATGTTGAAATCAAAGAAGCTGTAATACAATAGTACGAGTATAATTAAAGATAAATTAGTGATAGGAAAGATATTCTTAAATGAATTTTATTATATGTTTAGTATAAGATGAGAATTCAAACAGTAGGATATAACTCAATACTCTTAGGATGTTTAGTTATGAGTAGACATGGGTGAGATCAATCGTTTTTCGTCTCGGGCACGGAACCATCTTGACCACATTTATTTAGAGTACATGAGTCGTGACAATATAACATTCCATGCAAGTTTTACACGACTCGGAATGACTAGTGAAGAATACCCCAATTTTGTTTTTTTCTGCTCAAAACCTCAATAATACATAGGAGCAATATGATATTTTTATCAAATATATTTCACATGTAGACCAAGTAAATATCTATCTTTTGAGTCCTATAGAGAGTGATAGGAACGACATGTTTGAGTATATTTCTGACATCATATAATTCAAGATATTTCATTTAGATTTTCTTTCCATAATTCACTTATCATATGGAAGGTGTCCATAAATTTTTCCAATTCTCGAGAGTATACAATGCAGACGTTCGATGTGACATTGATTTCGAGTTCAGCGTTAGATTGAGAACCTTAAATAACTTTTTGAAATAAGATGTTGTATTGAAACAGTACGAGACCAAGAGAAAGGTAAACTTTATTCTCATTAAAAAAAATCCAACAAATTATGAATTTAAAGTACAGATAATCTGTGACTTCCAACATAAAATTATTCATGTGTCTCAGTGTTACCATGAAAGTGTACATGATCTCACAATTTTAAGAGAATCAAGATTATTAATGCATACCAGAAAAGATGTTCAAATAATTGGTGAAAAAAGACGTAGCTACTCCAAGAAAAATACCTCGAGAAGGTATATTGACAACAGCAGATAATCTTTACAATAAGAGTATTTCCAGTGCAAGAGCTGTTATTGAGAATATCAATCAACGCCTCAAAACTTATGCTATTTTCGGCCGTATCTATTGAGGACCTATCGATTATTTCAAGAAGATAACGAAAATTGCACGTGTTGTTTGCGCTTTGTCTAATTTTATGACGTTTTAGAAAAAAAAATAAACTTGGGGCATCCTTCACCGGCCACTCTCAACCATGAAAGATGTTGTTCCCAATAAGAAAAGCTGTTAGTGCAACCCTAGCGGAATTAAAATGTGCAACACGATGTAGTTGCTATTGCTAATTACACGGAGACTGTTTTATTCAATCTATTTTGGGATACATTTCTTTACCATTCTTGAGGAGGACAAGGAACGTTGCTAAGGCATCCGTTACAGTCTGTAAAATGACGGAGAGGCGTTGTTAGGAATATCTGTGTGTGTGGGGGGGGGGGGGGGGGATGAATCGGGGGGGAAGTGGGTCCAAATTCCTATCCCTATACTTCAACACTGCTTTTAAGTGTTTGTGCTGGTCCCAGCGAGACAGTGACTATCTTGTACTTATCTTGTTGTGAGGATTCTCTACCCTTTGAAATATGCTTTCGTTATCATAACTTACGCTCAAATACAGATGACCAATATAATTAATATTCAAATGAGTAGTTGTCCGAATTGCTATGCATTAAAAAAGATGATGGTAAGTAACACAAGTATGAAAATGATCTTAAATTTATTGAGAGACGCTCTAAATATAGTTTCTCTCAATGCTTATTAGCATAGCTAGAAATATGACTATGTTTTTTTTCCGGCGAAGAAGTCAAATGAGTTCTATTCAAATTATTTATTTTTGTATCATTCTGATTCAAACTTTTATTAAAAACGTATTTATACACACAAGAATCTTTACAATCAAGTTCATAATTATTATTCAGTCTTTATCATATATATCTATGTATATAACTAAATATCTAGTTTCATAACATGCAAGATAATATAAATAATTGTTTAAATAGTTTCATAAATGAGACGTTCCCATTCTTTCGAATTGTGAAGATTTTTTTCTCTTCCACATCTATCTCCACCACCACGGCTAACACCCGAAGAAAACGACCAACAGAGTCGATAGTCAGAATGATCATCACGTGAATCACACGTATGTGAAAAAGCTGTTTGCATGCTATGTCCATAATAATTAGTATCGACCCAATCCTATAATATATAAAATTATATTACATAAATAAATTTCATCATAAGCTTTTATTCAAATTTAAATATCAAGAATGGCTAAAATCCGAACGATAGTGATCTTTTATCTGTACACACGCTTCAAAATATGATCCTGTGCATATCTTATTGTTGAGTTGAAATAATGATCTAATTATTATTTTTTAAGTCTTTGATTTTCTGCCATCTAAAGATTATATCGTAGTCAATTCATATAAATTCTTACCTTTGGACGTGCCTCGAAACCCCAGACATAATCCGCCACATAATAGAAGCCTATATTATTTTTCTTATCGATTGTACACTGACCATTTACCGGGCATGGATTAAAAATATTTTCACGTTCACCTACACCAGCTACAGTTAAAGTTTCTTTGTCATTAACAGAACGACAACCAATAAGAAGTCGTTTGCCTTTGCATGTATTCGTCAATACTGTAGCATTGAATGGTGTATTATATTTACTACGATAACATTCTTTCCATCCAATGAGAGAATTTGTCTTCAAATTAAGATGAGCACCAACGATTGGTGACAAGAAACGTTCCGCTATAACAAAAAAAAGAAGAAAATATGATGAAAATTTTGAACATTTTTCTATTTCATTTAACTTACGATTCAATCCGAGTTCATTGAGCATATTAGAGAAATTAAAACGTACATCTACATTTGGTTGTTTAATATCAAGTTCGTATGGTACAAAATTTGGCATACGTTTAATTGCACGTAATTGATCAAGTAAATATGCAAATTGCACAGGATTATAATCAAGAAAATATGCAGTATTTTCTTTACTTATTGATTTCGTTTTAGTTTCATTGTCTTTAGTAAACATACGTGCTAATTTTGAATTAGGTACAACAGTAAGAGTTGAACGAAATGTTGTCATTCGTTGACCACCGACATTTAATTCAATAATATCATCTAATGATAATTCAGATTTATCCATATTGTTTTGATCAATCAAATGAGTAGATGTTTCATTTTCAATAATTACAGTATTATGAGAGTTATCATCATCATTTGTAGTGTTCTCAATCAAAATAGGATGTTCAGTTGTAACTAAAATTTCTTCATCTAGATCATCTTCAACATATTCAATATTAGCACCAACTGTCTTGGCTACTATCTGTTGATTAAATAGTAGAAGCCAGGTAATCTAGATATAAAAGTATAATTTAAAAAAAAAAAACAGCAAAAATTTCCGTTAAAAATATACATACAAGTAAAACAGAAAACATTATTGATAAAGTTATCCAGAAGTTATAGACGAATGAAGAAGTCTATTGCTGTTTTACTTTCTTATATAGTGTTGTTTTTTTTATTTACCAGGATCTGTTTTTTTTTAGTATAAGTAATATTGATTGACACTCAATAGTGTTAATTAAGATAGATGAAGTGATGATAATCATACTGGAAAAGAGCCTTTGTTTTTTGTACTTATATGGATGACAAAATCTATTTATATGTCTATATGAGACATATGTTGATGAAAAAAATATTTCAGATATTCATGAAGGCTTTAAAACTTTATTATTACATGTATTTGAAATATAACTAGGTATAAAACATAATGAGATAGTAAGCAAAGCTTGTTAGCGCAACCCATTTAGGTCTGAACTATGGAACTCACATGTGTTCTTTAGCCTCATTATACTAATACCAAATACGTACAGTTAAAAACCTTTTACAGACCAAAGTTGTTCTCCGAGATAATTGACCATCTGAGAAATGATCACTCTTATTTATTTCTGCATTTCGAAGAGAATTGGCTTTTTTTTTTACTGGCACTATTTTTTTGTTTGTCTTGTTGCTATTAGCTAATTATTTTTCTTTCTCGTATCTATATTTCGATAAGTGCACAAACGTATTTTAGCCATTCAAATTTCGAGGAAGACTTTGAAATGTTCTATAACCGTTTAAGTCTTATAGTTAATGCTAGTCAGCGTTTTTTTTCATCGCTAAGGAGCTCTGGGAAAAACGTCTGACACCTATAGTCCTCGCCATCTTATATCCTTTTGTAGTAAAAAAAAAATAAATTCCTAGAACTAACCCAAGCCAATGCCAAATTAAAGATTGTATTCTTTCAATTCAATGTGTAAAAATAAATTTTAGCTACAGATCATCGATAATTAATCTAGGCATTCATAACTGTATTGTTTAGTTTATGTCAACTACTATATCGTGTCTTCGTAATAATAAAGATAGTTCCTGATGTATCTTTATTTATATGAAGATCAAGTCATTCTTATAATTGTGATCGTAAATATTCGATACTAACGCCGAAGGAACTCATTCTATGTTCATGACATGCTACTTGTAATTCTTCAATATTAAGATTTTTAATATCTTCATTTGCAATTAATTTATCATCATCTTTTAAACGATGCTATTATAAATGAAGTTCAAAACATAGATAATAATTAGGATCAATGAAAGATAAATCAAGAAGATTATATAAAGCAATTAATTGTAGAAGATCAAAATTATATATTGTAGTACAACGAGATCCATTTTTCGACTGAAGAAGTTTTGTAATTTCTTTTGCTTTCCATGATGAATGTTACTTCTTTAATTGTAATACCAAAGAATGAAATTTCTTTATCTATCTTTAGCAGATGGTTGATGTGACATTCAGTATTGATTCAATCGTGACGGACTAATGTTGACCTTTATATATATATAAATATCTCCAATTGACATGTAGAGCAACTCAAATGTGTTCGTGAAGGAAAGATAGTGAATTTTATCAATTTAAGATATTGAAAAATAACACGCGATAGTGTTTGTTAGAGATTCTCATCCATAGTAAAAGTTAGAAACATCAAGCTTTGTAGTTATTTGGTATTAAATAGATGTTCTAGCTTGTCAAAATTTCAAAGAGATTGCTTCCGTTGAAAAAGAGAACGATGCCTTTTTCAAATTGCTTCAGAACTTTTCTGGAACATTCCTCAATTATAATGATCGTTGATGAATGAATTCGAATCATATGACAATGTTTAGGATGATATATGGTTTATTGAGGACTTCAGTATTTATTTTTTCATTATTTCTTTTGATCTTTCAATATTGTATTTCGCTTGAAGAAGCGAAAATGTAAGTATGACATGTAAGATCATTAGATATTGTAGATTCAATACTTAACTAAATATTACATAAACATTTGCATGCAAGATATTGATCTGCTTTCTTTAGGTACAACATATTGAATCATACAATCTTACTTCAGGGAAAACTAACCTTTTACATTGTGATTCTTTAATTTATGTAGTTCACAGTAGATTACGAGGAATTATTTATTTAGATTAAATTAGATCCTTCATGAAACTAAGGAGAGATGAACAATGTTAGATATTCATAAGTTCGATTTTTTCTTGCACTCTTTTAGCAAATGAAACGATACAATTCATATCATCGTTCGATAACATACTTTGATATTTTGAAATGGGAACAAATTAAATGTTCAGTATTACTCTGATTCCTGTATTGTAAAGATAATATTTAATGAAAATATAGATGCTGAATGGGTTGATAAAATTATTGGTGAAACCATTCCTGGATCGAATGATCAGTTTATATATACTTGACATGAACCAATTGGTGTTTGTGGACAAATCATTCCATGATAAGTTTCATTTTCGATTCTATAGAAATAAACTCGATTTCTTTTGCAGGAATTCACCTGTATATGTTTTGTTCTTTTATAATACGGATATAGCTTATTTCATTAAATTTAGATTCTGATGTTGGTTTGGAAACTAGAGCCAGCATTAGCATGTGGTAAGTGAAGATGTTATTTTTTCGCGTGACTTTTTACCAAAGTTTTAAATAGGTAATGTGATTGTATTGAAACCAGCTAAACAAACACCACTTACTGCACTCTTTTGTGCTTCTGTCATTAAAGAAGTATTATTCATCATCTATCAACAATAGAAATTTATTCTAATACTAAATCAATAATCTAGGCTGGTTTTCCACCAGGTATTGCTAACAGTGTACCAGGTAATACACATCACCGGAATGAAAACAACTCTTATAACGATATACATATGTAAGTCATGAACCTAACTGTGGTCATGGATGAAAAGATTAATAAAATAGATTTTACAGATTCACTCAAGGCAAGATCAGTGCAGATGAAAGACAAAATAACAAAAGCACATGATATTTTGTTTTAGATTGGGAAAAAGATTCAAGAAACTGCAGGAAAAACTAATCTAAAGCATGTTTCACTGGAACTTAGTTATTAAAATAATCTTTCTTACCAGTCTGCTTTGTTGCCTTTTCATCACATATAGGTAGTAAATCACTATTAATCATTTGTGAAGATACTGATCGTATGTATTAAATAATTCTATTACTTCCATTTTCATTATGCTTCCTAATGACGAAAAGGTTTATAAGCGATAGAATTAATTTGTTTTGCATGTTTTAGTCGATATTCCTGTTCGAACTGCTCATAGAGCAGTGTTCACTCATGCAGGTCAAGGATGTTTTGCTGCATCAAGGGTATTTGTTCATTCCACACTTCACGATGGCTTTGTGTCTAAAACTGCCGAATTAGCAAAGAAACGTATTGTTGGTGATCCATTTGATTCTACAACTGAACAAGGACCATAGGTATAGGAAAGCATTTCAAGCAAAGTGTCATAATCTAAACTATGGAAAAAACATACTGATTGAGAATTCAGAAAATAATTTGATAAGACAACAGATTAGCATTGATTTCTTTTGTGTATTCTACAAAACAGTCATACTCAATTAGAAACAATTCTTGAATGTATTCAATCGGGTAAAAA